GCTATAGTACAGATTATTGACCAAGCTATAGTTCAGACTAAAGACTACGCTATAGTCCAGACTAATGACTAGATTATAGTTCAGGCTATAGACTAGACTATAGTCCAGATTATACATTAGACTATACACTAGACTATACACTAGATTATACACTAGACTACATTAGACTATAGTCCAGACTATAGACTAGACTATAGTCCAGACTATAGACTAGACTATAGTCCAGACTATAGACTAGACTATAGTCCAGACTATAGACTAGACTATAGTCCAGACTATAGACTAGACTATAGTCCAGACTATAGACTAGACTATAGTCCAGACTATAGACTAGACTATAGTCCAGACTATAGACTAGACTATAGTCCAGACTATAGACTAGACTATAGTCCAGACTATAGACTAGACTATAGTCCAGACTATAGACTAGACTATAGTCCAGACTATAGACTAGACTAGACTATAGTCCAGACTATAGACTAGACTAGACTATAGTCCAGACTATAGACTAAACTATAGTCCAGACTATAGACTAGACTATAGTCCAGACTATAGACTAGACTATAGTCCAGACTATAGACTAGACTATAGTCCAGACTATAGACTAGACTATAGTCCAGACTATAGACTAGACTATAGTCCAGGCTATAGACTAGACTATAGTCCAGGCTATAGACTAGACTATAGTCCAGGCTATAGACTAGACTATAGTCCAGACTATAAACTAGACTATTGTCCAGACTATAAACTAGACTATTGTCCAGACTATAAACTGGACTATTATCCAGACTATAAACTATACTATAGTCCAGACTATAAACTAGACTATAGTCCAGCCTAAAGACTAGACTATAGTCTGGACTATAGTGTATACTATAGTCTAGTCTGGACTATAGGGCGGCCTATAGTCTAGTCTACAGTCTAAACTATAGTCTAGTCTATAGTCTGTTCTATACTCTAGTTTGTACTCTGTATTATAGTCAAGTCTATAGTTGTGACTATACTCCAGTCTATAGTCCATACTCTGGAATGTGGACTATAGTATAGTATTTATTCCAAACTATTGTCTGGACTATAGTCAAGTCTGTAGTCTATTCTATAGTTGAGACTATAGTCTATAGTCTGGAGTATGGTTCAGTTTATAGTCTTGACATAGTCTGGTCTAAAGTCTAGATTAAATATAATCTACACTATAGTAGTTTATAGTCTAGTCTTGACTACAGTCTACTCTTGACTACAGTCTAGTCTATAGCCCTAACGATAGTTTGGACTAAAACATAGACTATAGTCTGGCCCATAGTCATGTTTATATCGCAGTGTATAACAAACCCTGCCTATGGTATTGACTATATTGTTGTTTATTTCAAATTCATTATCGTGTTTTTGTTAAACTTTGAGATTTTTGTTTCTACTATTTTGAAACGTATGATTCAACAACGATAAATGCAATAAAATTAAATGCATTTTGCAATTAAATAACAAAAGAATTTAAATTTACACAATTAATCGTAATCAAAGTACAATATTAATGACAAAACAACGTTTGGTAAATAAATAATAAATACAATTTTGGAATTAAAGAAAACGGAAAAGAATTTTAAAGTTTTAGAAAATTTCACCTTAATTTAAGAGTCATATTGGGATTACAAATGTTTATTAGTTATTTATTATTGATCCATTTTTTTCAATTCGTATTGATTGACTTTTTTAAATGTTTTATAATTTATGTGTCATGCCATATATCGTTTAAAAATTGTCAAATGTTTCTTTTTATAAATACTTCTAATTGGCCTAAAAACAACATGAGCAAACACGCGTCTTAAAGACCCCCTCATATAATGATTAATGATTATCGGAACATTAGCAAATTAAATGAGAAGAAACATTAAATTTTTTTTTGCGACAAAATAAAAACTATCACCGAAAATATATATAGAGAAATTTTGACGTCAAATTTTTTGAAGAAAAAAAAAATATAATAATGATAAGAAAATAGTTTGTGCCTTTAACAAAGTGTTAAATTTTTCTTCCAATTCTTTCTTAATTAAAGTATTAGACTAGGCTATAGTCCAGACTATAGACTAGGCTATAGTACAGATTATTGACCAAGCTATTGCATTTTTCTTGACAAATTAATATAATCTATTTTTAAATCTTGCAAATGTAGTACAAAAATGAGATTAGTACTAGATTTGATTAATAAATATTTTTGAGATAATGCAACAGCAGTTGTTTTAAAGTAGATGATTAATATGCGATTAATTAAATGTACATAAAAATGATTAGATATATTAAGGCGTCTGTCTAGCAACAAGAAGTTGAATAGAAGATTAAGGTCTCTAAAATTTCTATAATTATTTCACTTAAAATCAAGTAAAATGGTAGTAGAGTCTTTATGTAATAACTTTTTTTAATAATTTTCTCACAAAAACCTTCAAAATTTTATCACTTTATGTTGTTTTCCTACCTTTTAAACTAAATTTGTAATTATTTTTGGTATTTTTTACCTTAATTTTCTTAAATAATATTAATTTTTTAATTATTTATATGAATTTTACTTCAATTTGTTAATTTTTCATTAATCTCCTGGTTTTCATTTAATCCCTACTATTTTCCTAACATCCGGCAACTTTAATTAGAGCCTGTTGTCAAAAATCCCTCTTGTTATTGTTTACATTTTAACTAGATGTTTGCATGTGTGTGTTGTTATTGTTTTCCTTTTGCTTTATTTTTTGTCCACTAACAAACTAACATTCTGTTATTGTTGATATTGCATTTAAAAGAATACTCTTGTTGTTGTTTTCTACCTCGTTATATTATTGTTTACATATTTGCTAGAAAACAATGTTGTCATCTTTCCTTGTTATTAGCGTTTTATTAAATAGGAAATTTGCTTTATTCCAAAGAACGTTTTACAAATTAAATAAACATTTAAATAAAAACAAATTGTTTAATTTGTATAAACTACGCTAAATTGTCAATAAAAGCTTAACAATTTGAAAAGAAAATAATAATAAATGCAATTTTTATTGTTTGTTTTTTTAATGTCTAAATTGTTTTTGTTGAATAAATTCAAAAGAAATTTATGACTTAATACGGCTGATTTAGTATAAAATTGTTGTAAATTTATTAGGAATTTTTAAAGAAATTGTTTATTTTTGTTGTTAAGTGGTTTTTTTTGTAATTTTTTCTGAAGTTTTAAATTGTTTTTTTAAATTGAAATTCTATTGTTTTGATAAAATTGCTGGCAAATTAGAAAATTTGTTAAATGTTAAATATTAGTTAAAAATTGTTAAACTGTGTCTTGTTTTTTTGTAATATTTATCTAAAAATTATTGAATTTTGAATGATTTTTAAGTAATTTTCCAAATGTTTCAACAGATTCCATTGCATGCATGAAATTAAGTTTTCGAAAATTTGTGTATATTTCATCAAATACCATTTCGTTCCTGTATTGAAAATTTCAAAATTTTTAAGACTTTTTGCAATTTTACGTAAAATTGTTGATTTTTAATGCTTTTTAACAAGTTTTCCAAATGTTTCACCAAATTCCATTTCGTTCCTTGTTTAAAATTAAGGGATTTAAACGTGTTTGGAAATATGTTTATGTTTTTCTCATTTCAAGACATTTTATGATTAATCAGTTGATTGTTTTTTGGATTTTTACAATGTTTCATCTAATTCCATTTCGTTCCTCTAATGAAAAATTTAGAATTTTTCAACTTTTTTACTATTTTACTTCAAATTATTGCATTTTTAATAATTTTCCACAAATTTAAAACATGTTTCATAAGATTCCATTTCGTTCCTGGTTTGAAATTAATAGATTTTTGAAGAATCTAGTGTAACATTTAAAATTTCTATTAGAAATCATTAAAAATTTTATAATTTTAAGTAAAATTAAAAATTTTAAATTTTTCTTCAAAGGAACAAAATGGAATTTGATAAATTATTGAAGAATATCCTAAAAAATAACAGTTTTAAGCGTAAAATGTTTAGGAATGGAATAAAATATAAACAAATTTGCAAAAATCTATAAACAATATAAACAAATTGCGTAAAATCTGTTAATTTTAACCTAGAAACAAAATGGAATCTAGTGAAACATGTGTGAAAATTGTTAAAAACAATTAAAAACTCAATAATATTAATGTAAAATAACAAAATATCACAAAAATTTAAAAGTTTTCTTAAGAGGAACAAAATGGAATTTAATGAAACACTGCAAATAACCCAAAAATATTAACAGTTGAACCACAAAATGTCTAGAAATGAGAAAACCATGAAATCTTCTAAAAATTTTAAATTTTTCTTAAAAAATTTAAAATTTTTCTTAAGAGGAACAAAATGAAATTTGATGAAACATTGAAAAATAACAAAATTTTTTAACGGTTTACCTATAAATTTTCTGAAACTTCGAATAATATAAGAAATTTTGACAAAATCTTTAAAAATCTTTAAATTTTTAACAAGGAACGAAATGGAATCTAGTGAAACATTGAAAAATTTAGTTGAAACTCATTAGAAAGGCAATAATTTTAAGTAAAATAGCTAAATATGTTAAAAATTTCAAAATTTTCTTAAGAGGAACGAAATGGAATTTAATGAAACATTAAAAATTTTTGCTAAAATTCGTTAAAAATTCAATATTTTTACCTTTTTTTGTCTATTATATTGATAAATTGTTATTTTCCTGCTCTTTTTCCAATGTCTTTTCTAACATAAACATATTTGATTGTTGGTCTCTCTATTGACTCAACTTTAACTTTGAACTTGAAATTGTTAAAACTAACGGTTAAAATTGCAAAAGGTAAACAAAAGTAAACAAATTGAAGGTGTGTTTATTTTTTCTTTCTTTGTTTTGATTGTCATTTCTTTCTGTGGTTGCTGTTTTGAAATGATGTTAACTTTGAACTTGAAAATGATTGGTTTAGTCATTCATTGTGGTTGTCTAAACATGTTTATATGCAAATTTTTGTTGCGGTTGTTTCGAAACTTACCGTTACTTTAAATGCTTCCGCTTTTTGTATTTTTCGTGCATAATTTAGCAGCAGGATTAAAAGGAACATAAAATTGCCCATTTTTAATAACATTTTGTTAAAGATTTTTTTTATAATTTTTGTTATAAAAACTTTATTTGTAATTCTTTTCTTGTATAAAAACTGTTTTATAACTGTTTTATAACTTTTTTATAGTTTTTTTTTTTTTTGCAAAAGTTTCGAAATTGTGTAAAAAAAACTCTATTAGGCAACTTTTGTTATCTTAAACACACACAAAAATATCCTCTAATACTAGTTTTTTAACACTTTAATACTTGTTTTAAAAACAACTTCTTTTAACAAATTTTTTCTTGCGCAATTTTGTTTAAAACTCTTCTGTTTAAATATTCGATGAAGCGCGTCCAAGCTGTTGACCCACTTAGACTGGACTGTGCTAAAGTTGTTTAATGCTGCTTGCCTTTTTAACTTTTCCGAGGTGTCTGTGTATGTGTGTGCGTTTGCGTTTAAAATTAAACACTTAATTTTTGTTTAAAATCGCAGATAATAATAATTTTTTTACTATTTTTTTTTTGCAAATGGCAATCGTTTGATTATTTTACTTTTTGTTTTGGTTCATAAATTTTTTTTCGTATTTCAAACCCCGTTGAGTATTTTTTTCTTAATCTTTTTTTTTTGTTTTAATAATTAATGCAATAATTGTTAAGCAAAAAAACCCATTATATACAATTATTTAAACAAAATGTAATTGTTATTGTTTTTTTTTGCAATTATTTTGCCTTCATTGAGAAAAAAATGTTCAGTTTTGTTGTTTTTACTTTAAACTGATAAGATTTTGTTTTTTTCACTACAGATTAGTGACGTTGTTTTTCTTTCAAATTAATTGCTTATCGTTGGTGGTTTTTGTAAAAAAATGTAATCTTTCTTTGTTGTTGCCAATAGATTGTCTAGGTCTTCAAATCTGGAAAAAAATGAAAAAAGATTAAGTTTAAAAAAAAAATGAATTGTAAAAATTAACTAAAAATTAGGGAAATTCTTTAAAAAAATCGAAATATATTACAATTTCCCTAAAAATCTTCAAAAATTTCTCAATTTTAAACAAGGAACAAAATGGAATCTGGTGAAACATTGAGAAAACTTGTTAAAAACCCTTTAGAACTCAATAATTTGAAGGAAAATGGCCAAAATTCTTAAAAATTTCGTAATTTTTAAAAGAGGAACGAAATGGAATTTCATGAAACATTGATAAAAATCCAAAAATCACCAATAAATTAATCAATAAACATCTAAAAATATGAAAAATATTAAAATTTTTGTAAATATCATCAAAATGTAACAATTTTAAACAAGGAACGAAATGGAATCTGGTGAAACATCGAAAAAAACATTTAAAAACCTTTTAAAACTCAATAATTTTAGGCAAAATAAGACAAAATCTAAAATATTTTGAAATTTTCTAAAGAGGAACGAAATGGAATTTAATGAAACATTAATAAAAATCCAAAAACCAGCTACAATTTATCATTAAAACATCTGAAAATCTGATAAATAATAAAATTTTTGTAAAAATCTACAAAAATCCAGCAATTTTAAACAAGGAACGAAATGGAATCTAGTGAAACATTGAAAAAATCCTCTAAAAATTCTTTAAAACTAAATCATTTTAAGAAAACTAAGAAAAAATCTCAAAAATTTCGAAATTTTCTAAAGAGGAACGAAATGGAATTTCATGAAACACTAAAAAAAATCTAAAAACCCGCTACAATTTATCATTAAAACATCTAAAAATTCGAAAAATATAATTTTTTTTGCAAAAATCTACAAAAATTCAGCAATTTTAAACAAGGAACGAAATGGAATCTGGTGAAACATTGAAAAAATTCTCTAAAAACTCTTTAAAACTAAATCATTTTAAGAAAACTATGAAAAAATCTCAAAAATTTCGATATTTTCTAAAGAGGAACGAAATGGAATTATATGAAACATTGATACAAATCCAGAAACAAGCAACAGTTTAACCATAAAACATCTAAAGTTCCCAAAAATACTAAAATTTTTGTAAAAATCTACGAAAATACAACAATTTTAAACAAGGAACGAAATGGAATTAAGTGAAACATGAACAAAAATCATGAAATAGCTTATTTTAATCGTAAATTCATGATATACCTTCGATAAATGTGAAACATTTTCCTTAAAATATTGATAAAACAGATATTTTTTAAAGAGGAACGAAATGGAATCATATGAAACATGTTGCAAAAGTTGCTAAACAAGTATCAACATTAATGAAAGCAATGAAAATGACGGAAAATGTTAAAAATATGCGAAAATTTTAGTATTTATTAAGAGGAACGAAATGGAATAAAGTGAAACATCGCAAGAAAATGTCTAGAACTAAGTAATTTAGTTAAATTATATGATAATAACAAAAATAAACATGAAAATATATGATGAACTAGATGAAATGAAGAATTATCTTAGAGGAACGAAATGGAATTTAGTGAAACATATTAAAAAAGTGCAGAAAATCCAGCTTTATATGATAATTTTATGGATTTAAACTAAAATTTTATAAAAAATTAACTTTAAATTAAAATTTTCGTAAGAGGAACGAAATGGAATTTAGTGAAACACACTAAAAATGTTGAAAAATAAGCTGAAATTAGTTTATTTTAAGGACTCAATAAAAGATTTAAACATATTTCTTCTTTTAAATGGCATTTACTCAAGTGGAACGAAATGGAATTTAGTGAAACGTGTTAAAAAATACTAAAAACAAGCTTAAAGTGGCAATTTAAACTTTAAATATAATATTAATACAAAATTTTACATTAAACTAAACTTTTCTCAAGAGGAACTAAATGGAATTTAGTGAAACATGACCTAAAAATGGCCTAAAATGTTTCTTAGTCATTAAAATAAATAGGAAATGTAAATTACAGATGAAATTTGTACTATAAATGAGATTTTTCTTAGAGGAACGAAATGGTATTTGGTGAAACATGACCTGAAAATGGCCTAAAATGTTCCTTAGAAATTAAAATAAACGGGAAATGTAAATTAAAGATGAAATTTATACTTTAAATGAGAATTTTCTTATAGGAACGAAATGGAATTTTGTGAAACACTGTCTAAAACTCTTAATATAAGTTAAAAATTGCTTCATAAAAGTTTGTACACAAGATTTATTAGAATTTTCACTTTTAAACGAACATTTTCTTAAGAGGAACGAAATGGAATTTGGTGAAACATAACCTGAAAATGGCGTAAAATGTTCCTTAAACAATAAAGTAATGAGTTATGAAAGTTGATGCCGAAATTTATGCTTTAAACAGGATTTTTCTTAGAGGAACGAAATGGAATTTTGTAAAACACTGTCTAAAACTTTTAAAATAAGCTTAAAATTGCTTCATAAAGGTTTGAACTTGAGATTTAAACCAATTTTCTCTTTTTAATGAACATTTTCTTAAGAGGAACGAAATGGAATTTGATGAAACATGTTGAAAATTGCTAAAAACAGGCTTAAAGTAAAAATTTAAACGTTGAATCATAAAGATTTATTTAAAATTTAACATTAAAATAGAATTTTTTTAGGAGGAACGAAATGGAATTTCGTGAAACACTCTCAAAAAGACAAAAAAAAAAAACCCTGAAAATTGCTATGTAAAGGTTAAAACATACGATTTCAACAAGTTTTTTGTTTTAAAGCAACATTTTATTAAGAGGAACGAAATGGAATTTAGTGAAACATGGAGTAAAAATAATGTCAAAAGTCCCTTAAACACTAAAATAAACGAAAAATTATAAATTTTACACTTTAAATAAGATTTTTCTTAAAGAAACGAAATGGAATTTCATGAAACATTGCTCATATCAAAAGAAATACAAAAAATTTAAATTACTACACTATTCTGCTTAAAAACTGGGTTAAATACATGTGAATTTTAATGAAATTCCATCTGACAGTCTACATTTTTGCGCTATTTAATTAAAAAAACTTAATAAAATTAACCAAAACATGTCGATGAACTTGACAAATTTCATTAACCTACTAAACAGAAAATTCGACAAAAATGTTTATCAAAGTTTAAACATTTTTAAATAAATCAAATATTTATCAATTGTGTATTTTAAACAATTACATGTTGTAGCCTTGACCATACTCTCTTTCTTATTACTTTTACTCTCTCTATTATTTTGTATAACCAAAGTTCTTTTATTTGTTTACTTTTGCTTAATTACTTTAAAAACTTCCGTTTTTCCTAAGAATTAATATTACAGCTTATAACGGTTAGTATTGCTAATATCAACTACTGTTTAATTAAACAAATCTTATGCATTAGAAATATTAAATAATTTTTAATAACAAATAATTATTTAATCAAGTTATTTGTAATAACCATTTCCAGCAACTGTGTATTCCATTCCTAACTATAATAAAAAAAAGCTTGTTAATTGTTATAGTATTTAGCTGCATTAGGAAAAATGTTGTAATACCCACAATTTGAGCACACATTTTGTGTTTTAGACTGCTAGTCTAACCACTATTTAGTATGTCTAAGCCATTTATAGTAAAACTTGTTAGTTACAACTAAAAATCACATTGTCTTAGGTTGCTAACCCTTGGGTGTAAAAGAAAACGCAAGAAAAAAGGGAAAGTTTATAATACTTTTTTGTTTGTTGTGTCCAATACGCTAACAAGTGTATTTTTGTAATTTTTTTTAATAAAAGCTTTAAGGAAAAGTTTAAAGAGAGCTTAACAAATTGGTTAATATAACGTTTTGTTGATAAAAAGGAAAGTAATTTTTTTATTTAAATCTCAAAAAGGAAAGTAAAATGTAAAAAGGAACAAAACACTTGTTAAGAGAAAGGAATGGAATGGAGGAATGTAGATTCTATAGTCCAGAAAATAGACTAGACTATAGACTAGACTATAGACTAGACTAATGACTAGACTATAGACTAGACTATAGACTAGACTAATGACTAGACTATAGACTAGACTAATGACTAGACTATAGACTAGACTATAGACTAGACTATAGACTAGACTATAGACTAGACTATAGACTAGACTATAGACTAGACTATAGACTAGACTATAGACTAGACTATAGACTAGACTATAGACTAGACTATAGACTAGACTATAGACTAGACTATAGACTAGACTATAGACTAGACTATAGACTAGACTATAGACTAGACTATAGACTAGACTATTGATTAGACTATAGACTAGACTATAGACTAGACTATAGACTAGACTATAGACTAGACTATAGACTAGACTATAGACTAGACTATAGACTAGACTATAGACTAGACTATAGACCAGACTATAGACTAGACTATAGACTAGAATATAGACTGGACAGACAGACAGATAGAATACAGACCAGACTACAAACTATACTAGAGACTAGACTGTAGACAAGACAATAGACTGGACTAGACTATAGACTAGACTACACTATATACTAGACTAAAGACTACCACTTGACTTTAGATTAGACTAAATTATAGACAAGACTATATACTGAACTATAGTCTAGTCTATAGTCTAGTCTATAGTCTAGTCTATAGTCTAGTCTATAGTCTAGTCTATAGTCTAGTCTATAGTCTAGTCTATAGTCTAGTCTATAGTCTAGTCTATAGTCTAGTCTATAGTCTAGTCTATAGTCTAGTCTATAGTCTAGTCTATAGTCTAGTCTATTAGTCTAGTCTATAGTCTAGTCTATAGTCTAGTCTATAGTCTAGTCTATAGTCTAGTCTATAGTCTAGTCTTATAGTCTAGTCTATAGTCTAGTCTATAGTCTAGTCTATAGTCTAGTCTATAGTCTAGTCTATAGTCTAGTCTATAGTCTAGTCGTATAGTCTAGTCTATAGTCTAGTCTATAGTCTAGCTCTAGTCTAGTCTATAGTCTAGTCTATAGTCTAGTCTATACGAGTCTATAGTCTAGTCGAGTCTAGTCTATAGTCTAGTCTATAGTCTAGTCTCTAGTCTAGTCTATAGTCTAGTCTATAGTCTAGTCTATAGTCTAGTCTATAGTCTAGTCTATAGTCTAGTCTATAGTCTAGTCTAGTCTAGTCTATAGTCTAGTCTATAGTCTAGTCTATAGTCTAGTCTATAGTCTAGTCTATAGTCTAGTCTATAGTTAGTCTATAGTCTAGTCTATAGTCTAGTCTATAGTCTAGTCTATAGTCTAGTCTATAGTCTAGTCTATAGTCTAGTCTATAGTCTAGTCTATAGTCTAGTCTATAGTCTAGTCTATAGTCTAGTCGTAGTTTCTAGTCTGATAGTCTAGTCTTAGTCTAGTCTATCTAGTCTATAGTCTAGTCTATAGTCTAGTCTATAGTTCTAGTCTATAGTCTAGTCTATAGTCTAGTTCTCTAGTCTAGTCTATAGTCTAGTCTATAGTCTAGTCTATAGTCTAGTCTATAGTCTATAGTCTAGTCTATAGTTGTAGTCTATAGTCTATAGTCTGTCTATAGTCTAGTCTATAGTCTAGTCTATAGTCTAGTCTATAGTCTAGTCTATAGTCTAGTCTATAGTCTAGTCTATAGTCTAGTCTATAGTTCTAGTCTATAGTCTAGTCTATAGTCTAGTCTATAGTCTAGTCTATAGTCTAGTCTGTAGTCTAGTCTATAGTCTAGTCTATAGTCTAGTCCATAGTCTAGTCTATAGTCTAGTCTATAGTCTAGTCTATAGTCTAGTCTATAGTCTAGTCTATAGTCTAGTCTATAGTCTAGTCTATAGTCTAGTCTATAGTCTAGTCTATAGTCTAGTCTATAGTCTAGTCTATAGTCTAGTCTATAGTCTAGTCTATAGTCTATAGTCTAGTCTATAGTCTAGTCTATAGTCTAGTCTATAGTCTAGTCTAGTCTGTAGTCTAGTCTATAGTTTAGTCTATAGTCTAGTCTATAGTCTAGTCTAAAGTATAGTCTATAGTCTAGCCTATAGTCTAATCTATAGTCTAATCTATAGTCTAGCCTATAGTCTAGTCTATAGTCTAGTCTATAGTCTAGTCTATAGTCTAGTCTAGTCTATAGTCTGGTATATAGTTTATAGTTTGATATATGTATATACTAGTATATAGTCTAGTCTTGGAGTCGAGTTTACTTTATAATTTAACTTCCACCAGCAATGGTATGATGTTTTCTACATCTGTTACACACACACCACTTTAATCCACCACAATAATAAAAACAAGAACTCATAAAATATTGCCACAACGTTATTCCTTCGAGAAGTTTCTAGAATTTTGTTGGTATTTTTTTAAAATTCGTTTTTTATTTATTTAGCTTATAAAAAATTTTTTATTACATTCACCTTGGTATGTGTTGTAAATAATTTGTTAATATTTTAAATTAATTAACATTAACATTTGCCAAAATTACTAAAACACTATTTTCTGCATCATTATAAACAATTTACTTATTTAAACACTTGCTGCTGATTTAAATTTATTGTTCATATTATTGAAAATAATTTATTTAATTCGTTACACTTTACATTTGTTTACGAGATTTGTTTTGGTTTTATTTTTTATTTGTTTTATCACTTATTTAATTTATTTATTTATATTTATTTTTGCCTTCCTTCACAACGAACACGTTCGTTGTTTCTGCGCAAATTTACAAACTAAAACTGACAGCAATAAAATTCAAGAAAAAAGTGGGTAGTGGCACCATCACACCACGATAAAGAGTATTACGTACTACGATTGACTACTGACTGCTGCTTCTTCTTCTTCTTCTTCCACATCTACTGCCTCTGACACATATGTACATTCACGTACTTTCCGGGAAGCTTTTACTATATATTTTGTATCGCTTGTGATCTACTAGCAGCAACAATGAATGATAACAAACTTTTTTTTTTACAGCTGACAGTTTTTGTACAGAAAAATCACACCATAAAAGCTTTAACAGACAGACAACCGAAAATTTTATAGTCAAAACATTAAGCATAAAAAGTGAAAGAGAGAAAGATATAGAGAAGAGAGTATTTAGATAAAATTTGTGGAGAGTAGAGTGTAGTAAATTTATACGGGTTGGTTTTTATCAAGAGTTTAACACGAATATTTCAAACCCCTATAAGTAGTAATTTTATATATTACACATATTGATTTATCAAAATTTCAAAACAGAATTTTTAGAAGGGATTTAATTTTTGAAATTAAAGGGTGAGATAACACCAAGTGAATGAATTTAATGGAATTTCTTTAACTAGCTATATACACGGTAGTGATGTAAAGACTGGAGATTGCTAATCAGCCCATATACTGAACTAATTATAAACTAGACTAGACAGAACTAGAACAGTAATAGAAAAGAACTAGAAGAGAACTAGAACAGAACTAGAAGAGAACTAGAATAGAACTAGAACAGAACTAGAACAGAACTAGAACAGAACTAGAACAGAACTAGAACAGAACTAGAACAGAACTAGAACAGAACTAGAACAGAACTAGAACAGAACTAGAACAGAACTAGAACAGAACTAGAACAGAACTAGAACAGAACTAGAACAGAACTAGAACAGAACTAGAACAGAACTAGAACAGAACTAGAACAGAACTAGAACAGAACTAGAACAGAACTAGAACAGAACTAGAACAGAACTAGAACAGAACTAGAACAGAACTAGAACAGAACTAGAACAGAACTAGAACAGAACTAGAACAGAACTAGAACAGAACTAGAACAGAACTAGAACAGAACTAGAACATAACTAGAACAGAACTAGAACAGAACTAGAACAGAACTAGAACAGAACTAGAACAGAACTAGAACAGAACTAGAACAGAACTAGAACAGAACTAGAACAGAACTAGAACAGAACTAGAACAGAACTAGAACAGAACTAGAACAAAACTAGAACAGAACTAGAACAGAACTAGAACAGAACTAGAACAGAACTAGAACAGAACTAGAACAGAACTAGAACAGAACTAGAACAGAACTAGAACAGAACTAGAACAGAACTAGAACAGAACTAGAACAAAACTAGAACAAAACTAGAACAGAACTAGAACAGAACTAGAACAGAACTAGAACAGAACTAGAACAGAACTAGAACAGAACTAGAACAGAACTAGAACAGAACTAGAACAGAACTAGAACAGAACTAGAACAGAACTAGAACAGAACTAGAACAGAACTAGAACAGAACTAGAACAGAACTAGAACAGAACTAGAACAGAACTAGAACAGAACTAGAACAGAACTAGAACAGAACTAGAACAGAACTAGAACAGAACTAGAACAGAACTAGAACAAAACTAGAACAGAACTAGAACAGAACTAGAACAGAACTAGAACAGAAATAGAACAGAACTAGAACAGAACTAGAACAGAACTAGAACAGAACTAGAACAGAACTAGAACAGAACTAGAACAGAACTAGAACAGAACTAGAACAGAACTAGTACAGAACTAGAACAGAACTAGAACAGAACTAGAACAGAACTAGAACAGAACTAGAACAGAACTAGAACAGAACTAGATCAGAACTAGAACAGAACTAGAACAGAACTAGAACAGAACTAGAACAGAACTAGAACAGAACTAGAACAGAACTAGAACAGAACTAGAACAGAACTAGAACAGAACTATAACAGAACTAGAACAGAACTAGAACAGAACTAGAACAGAACTAGAACAGAACTAGAACAGAACTAGAACAGAACTAGAACAGAACTAGAACAGAACTAGAACAGAACTAGAACTAGAACAGAACTAGAACAGAACTTGAACAGAACTTGAACAGAACTAGAACAGAACTAGAACAGAACTAGAACAGAACTAGAACAGAACTAGAACAGAACTAGAACAGAACTAGAACAGAACTAGAACAGAACTAGAACAGAACTAGAACAGAACTAGAACAGAACTAGAACAGAACTAGAACAGAACTAGAACAGAACTAGAACAGAACTAGAACAGAACTAGAACAGAACTAGAACAGAACTAGAACAGAACTAGAACAGAACTAGAACAGAACTAGAACAGAACTAGAACAGAACTAGAACAGAACTAGAACAGAACTAGAACAGAACTAGAACAGAACTAGAACAGAACTAGAACAGAACTAGAACAGAACTAGAACAGAACTAGAACAGAACTAGAACAGAACTAGAACAGAACTAGAACAGAACTAGAACAGAACTAGAACAGAACTAGAACAGAACTAGAACAGAACTAGAACAGAACTAGAACAGAACTAGAACAGAACTAGAACAGAACTAGAACAGAACTAGAACAGAACTAGAACAGAGAGAACAGAACTAGAACAGAACTAGAACAAACTAGAACAGAACTAGAACAGAACTAGAACAGAACTAGAACAGAACTAGAACAGAACTAGAACAGAACTAGAACAGAACTAGAACAGAACTAGAACAGAACTAGAACAGAACTAGAACAGAACTAGAACAGAACTAGAACAGAACTAGAACAGAACTAGAACAGAACTAGAACAGAACTAGAACAGAACTAGAACAGAACTAGAACAGACTAGAACAGAACTAGAACAGAACTAGAACAGAACTAGAACAGAACTAGAAACTAGAACAGAACTAGAACAGAACTAGAACAGTATTATAAGAGAAATAGAACTGAACTAGGGTATTTCTTGCTTCTTAAGAGTTCCCCCTTTTAATGACGTCATTAGTTATGAGGTCATTTTGACAAACTTCTTGATAAACTGATTTACCACTCCATTTAAAATAAAGGAAATACCAAGAGTTGAAAAAAATTCAATGTCTTGCTAACAGGGCAAAGCCAAGAGAGTTAAACTTACACATAGAATGAGAACAAGAGAGTTGAAAACAATTTGTGTAAGTTTACATGGTATGAATGAAAAATGAGCCAGAAAAAAAGCTTTTCTTGTTTGTTTGTTTGTTTATTTTCCCCCTCTTTTGGAAAAGTAGGTGTGTACGCCGAGGGGTTGGGTTCAAATGGAATATGCTCTACATTAGTGTTGTTTTAATTTACATATAGAAAAATCTAAAAAACACATTCCAATGCGGAAATCTAATAGAGACAAAGCTTTTTTTTATATTTATTTGCGGGCTAATTGTTTTGATTAAATTTTGTAAAAATATGTTTGTATGGATGTCTGTATGTTTGTTTATAAGTTGTAGAAGGCTTGTCTAATATGGTAATGAAATAAAAATTTAATATTTCATAAAAAAAAGCTTTGGAAAAAAACACTAGATAACCACATTGGTGGTCAAATTGTGAGTCTTCAAATTTCACATCAAATGGTGGGTTATTTTATAAAACTTATTTATTGTTTTTGTTTTGAAATGGATTGTTGCTGCGTGTGAGTGTGAGTGTGTATGAACGGACATGTGGTATTTTTTGTTTGTTTTTTTGTATGTCAAGTTCAACTGGTTTAAATTGGTAATAATAGCGGCACATTTAGCGTAGAAGAAGAATTGCAAAAAAATTGTGTCTGGAAGTCTAAATAATTTTGCAAATTGCGAATAATGTTTTTGTTTAAAATTTAAAGAAATAACTCTGTTTCATTAGATTCCATTTCGTTCCTCTGGTCCAAAATGCTTCTTGTTTCTAAAATTCCACTATAAATTGCAAACTTTTTAACATACTACAAAGAAAAATATTTTTTTTTTTTATAAAATTTCCAATGTTTCATCTAATTCCATTTCGTTCCTCTATAAGAATTCTTAAAAAATTAAAAAAAATTTAGTGCTAAAGTTTAATTTCATAATAAACTTCCATTTTGCTACTTTGTTGTAAGTGAGTCACTTAATTCTGCAACATTCCTCTAATGTTTCACAAAATTCCATTTCGTTCCTTACCTAAAAACCTTAAATAAATCATTAAAACTAACAAACAATCTTTATTTTCATAATAATTGAGCAAATTTCTAGTCTTTTCTCAGTGTTTCACTTAATTCCATAACGTTCCCCTAACAAAAAACACTTAAAACTAGCTCAATTTTTAATAAATGCTCACAAAGTTCAAAGGGGAAAACTATATCTATCATTTTAGGGGGAAAATCAATGTTTCACTTGATTCCATTTCGTTCCACTTCTAAAAATTTAAGTTAAAGCAAGAAAATGTTTTGATTTAAATAATAAAGAGAAGTAATTTACATGATTTTTAACATGTTTCACTAAATTCCATTTCGTTCCCCAAGTAAAATCTTCTCTTTTGAGGTTAAAATTTTAGTAAAAATTAAAAATTATTGATGAAATATATTTGTATGACCTACATATTTATATAATTTAACGACTTTAAATGTTTAAATTCTCTATGTTTCATCAAATTCCATTTCGTTTCTTGTTAAAAAATTTTTAAATTTTGAGGTTTAAGCAAATTCTTTTGCTAATATATGATATTTTTTACACTTATTATTAAATTTTGATAAATTTGTCGGTGTTTCACTTAATTCCATTTCGTTCCTTTTACCAAAACCTTAAAATTTGAAAGTTTTATTGTATATGAGATTATTTTACTATATTTCTTGATTCACAACATTTTTGCAGTGTTTCACTTAATTCCATTTCGTTCCATTTAGAAAAATTTCCAATTTAAAAGGTTGTATCGGTTTATTATGGCCTTAAATGATCCAATTCTGATCATTTGGGTCGTGTTTCACTTGATTCCATTTCGTTTCTGGCTTAAAAATTAAAATTTATAGGATTTCATTCGTTTATTTGGTTTACATTAG